TACCTGCTGGGGAACCTAGAAGACCCAAGTGATGTTGGGTGGGGAGGAGTTTACATGGGGTAAGAAAGTGGAGTAAGATACATGGCAGTAAGAATAGCCCCTACTCAGAAATTAGTTCTGAAAACATGTTCTCGAAGGGACCATCACTCATACCTATTCATACAAATCACTTATATCAATTCCAGGCTATAGGTAGACTAGTTTAGTTTGGCACCTAAGCCAGACAAGGTCAAATAGGCTGATTCACAAAACAAGAACTGGAGTGAGTCGGTACCCTCCACCTCAGAAGAGAACTCAGGAACTCGAGAATGGTGAATAATTACTATAAGAATTTTTAACATTTCAGGAATTTTGTAACTTGTGTACCTTGGCTGGTTTTCATACTCCAATCTATTCATCATGATTTATGGTTTTTTACTCTTAAAAAACTCTTCTTTTTTAGGGGGAAAGGAAAAAATAGGGATCTGGGGAGAGAACACCCTAATATATGGCCAGTCCTGAAAAAAGAATTGTAAATAAGAGTGATAGGCAGATATTTTAAGTAGAAGAAACAAGTTAATTCAAATGAAGACTCAAGACAAAAAAGGGACTTCTTCCTAAAAGACCTGTTCAACAGAAGTCTGCTTCTGGGACATAAAGTAGCACATTTCTTTGTTAGAGTTGAACATAGGATTTTACTTAATAAATTTAGTGATATTTTAATTTGACCCTGCTTAATGACATGACTGACTTTTAGTTTGACCAAAAATCATTATTATTTCCCTTATAAAGTTCTTGTATCAGAGAATATTCTGCCTAGGGCTGGCCCCGTGGCTCACTTGGGAGAGTGCAGCACTGGTAGCGCTGAGGCCGCGGGTTTGAATCCTATATACGGATGGCCGGTGCGCTAACTGGCTGAGCGTGGTGCAGTCCACACAGTGCCAAGGGTTGCAATCCCCTTACCAGTTAAAAGGAAAAAAAAAAAAAGAAAATATTCTGCCTAAAATCTAAAAATCTTGGGAGTTAAAGCATCACATGATTAAAAAAAGAAAATGAATTTCAGTTCACAGCCTCACTAGTAATTTACCTAATTGGACCTGATTAAATGGATTATCAAGATGATCTAATTAGCCAAGATGATCTGTCCCAAAACGTTTTCCACTTAGAGGTCTTAGCTCAAATGTATGACCAACTATTTAATACAGAACGAGCATTTCTTCCCTACTTTGAAAAACATTGTAAAACTTTATCGTCACTTTTTAGACATCCATTAGTATAACTTAAACTACTATTGTTAACCTAAATAAATTTTTGGTGATGTAATTTAAAAGGTGTTGATGTTGTTTTATAAGCAACTGAGTTTAAACTATGTAATCCAAATAATACAGGCTTTTCCCCCATTAGTTCTAGCAAAACCATTATGCCATGTCTACTTACTTGAGGAAGATAGCAAAATGAGTTAATTAGTCCTCCAAATTTGAAGATTTGGAGCTGTACAGTTATTTGGAAGCATTACTTTAGCAGAAATAGCAAAGTCAGTGACTGCAGTGATTCAAATTCATTTTTCTACCAGTTTCATTCATTGAATGTAATGGGATGGATTCAGGGCCATCTAAATGGAGTTTTCTATTTTTTATTGCCACACATTTCTCTAAGACAAGTCACTTGAAGATCTTGCTAATGGAGATTAGTGTCTCCATTCATCAGACTTAAGTAATAAGCAACATGACAGTGACTATACCTGGCATCCCCAATCTCCTTTACCTATCCTCCTGAAGATTCTGAAATAGAAGACACGTTAACACACATATGCAGACTATATATAGTGAGACTAATATTTCAACTCATGCAATAACTTGTGTGAGATGGGCAGGTACAAATGCTCACAGGGGTTAGGAGCAGGTCAGCCCCAGGATATATCCCAGAGCAGGAAACATGCATCTGTTTCACACCAATCTAGCCATGCCTACTCCTCTCCTGCCTTCTACCCATCAGTTCCCTAAGCATTCAATACATTTTCATGTAGCCTCCGCTCTGTAAACAAGTGTGTCCCACTCCTACCACACCACCCTTTTGCTTTTTCATCAACACTCAAGACAAACACACAATAAAATCTTTCTTATTAAGTGTTATCTCTCCTCTTCGTTAAATCTATAGGTCTTGCAAGAGTATTGTTTTCTACTTGTTTTACTGCTTGTGAACAATGTTTTAGCTTTATTATGGATTCATAATTGAGCTGACCTTGGAGTTACAACACTTTCATTTTTCGGAAGGAAAATGTATTTCGAGTTACAAACAATGGACTTATAATTGAACTCTGGAATGTGTTTATAGATTGGAGGTGGATTGACATAACCTTCACACACAAAGGGTGACAGAAAAAAATCTATTCAAATGGTGTTATCAAGGAGATGAAACATGTTCTACTGCATTTCAAATCTGCTTTGGAATACTGAATCTAGCCTCTCTTCTGGAAGGAAAAGAGGAAAGATGGAAAAGGAGGGAGGGAGGAGAGAGAGAGAGAAAGGAAGAAAGAGCCATAATTTAGAATTGCGTAGATTCTTATTACTGAGCCAAATGACTTTGATCTGCAAACCCACCCTTAAAAGCCCTGAAGATCCAAGAATACAGCAGCTGTTATAGTACTCAAAACATCAGTGGGACTCAGTAATATTGTTCTCTGAAAAACTAATTAATCCTGCCTCTCACAGCTAGTCCTAGATTGTTTTATCAGGAGAAAGAAATGCTAAGGGTAAGGAAGTTTTTATATGGATAGATGATGCTACCGGAGAGATTCAATAATGAGTCTTTACAATTAAGAACAGAAGGCTGATGGGGCAGGCCAAGAAATGGAGTCCCTTTTGCAATAAAAGGGCCAGGGAGTGCTCTGTAGCAGAATGCAACTGTGGAATCCACAGAATCAAAATATTCTGAATAAGCTCTTAATCCATTGCAAAGTGATGAGCTGCCTCATGCAGACCACTGCACCAATGATATCTGCTGTTTACCCTGTGCTTTTGCCTTATTGATAGTCTTCTCCCTCTGCTCTGCCTCAGTTAATTGTGTTCAGTGAATACATCTTCTTGGCTCTCAGTGTGTGGAAGGATTCTAAGCAGACTGTGTAGTCTAGCTGCAGAAGTTCTATTTGGGGACATGCACTGTGAACCCCTTGCCCCAAATTAATCTCCCACAATCCTTGTACTCCTTCCTGCTTGAACTCGGATTTCACCAAGTCACTTTTCTGACCTAGAAAAGCCAGAACATTGTTTCCAGAAGGCCAGAGTCCAAAAGTTCACAGGGAACATACAGCTCCAGAAGTTTTCGCCTTTCTCATCTGTGGAGATTAAATTACTATGTCAGCCACTTGTAACCTGGAGAAACAAAGCCCAGCCAGGGGCTATGACAAAGGCAGGTAAATTTGAATTGAGGAGCAAGTGAGATGAAAAAGAAGGGAAGAAAATCTGTAAGTCTATCAGTCTCCTCGAAAAACAGCGATAGGGCTAGCTCGTAAAGAATCAAGTCTTTAAGGAACATCACACAAGTGAGATGAAAAAGAAGGGAAGAAAATCTGTAAGTCTATCAGTCTCCTCGAAAAACAGCCATAGGGCTAGCTCGTAAAGAATCAAGTCTTTAAGGAACATCACGGCATCCTCTACCTAGAGGAAGGCCCTAGTAAGTGTTCTGTCCCTAAAATCTGTCCCTATCTCCACCCCCATCCCTTTCCTGTTGAACTTCCCTTTCTCTCTCTCCTCCTATCTTTATCTCTATCTCTTTCCAGATTTGCAACCCAAGGAAAACAAACATAGATCTCTCTAGACTTAATTTCCTCCTCCATAAAATGAAAATGATAGACCAGATTATGGTTCCTACCCTGGACAAGAATCACCAATGTTAGAGATCCCCAGAGTGGGGAATGTTCCCTTATAGTCCCTGCTAATCAATAATAGGGTGAGCAGATAAAAGGCTTTTTAGATGAGTCAGGGATGACCTGAAACAGAAACAGATTTCAAATCAGTCCCCTAACCCAGGTCCAGCAAAAATAACATGGGTTTCAACTCTTTCCACCAATAATAAAAACCCAGAGATGCTCCCTAACAGGTACCCCCTTTTACGCGTGTAGAGTTATCCAAAAATGACAGTAAGTGGTAGAGCCACATTATAATCATGACCTGATTTTTTCTTTTCTTTTTCTTTACGGCTGGCCATTACTGAGATCTGAACCCTTGACCTTGGTATTACAAGGTGGAGCTCTAACCAGCTGAGTAAACCGGCCAGCCCTGAGGTCGACACTCTGCCAGAAGAGCGTGCCTTGCAGTCTGATACAGTTGAGGTGAGTAGTAAAACCTAGACCAACAATTTCTTAAAGTCCGCATCAGTCCGCAGACCCCTGCATCAGAATCACTGGCGGTGTTTGTTAAAATTCAGATTCTCTGTCCATACCCAAGACAGAAGGAATCAACACAGAGGGATCAAAAATCTGCACTTAAAAAGCACCTCCAAATGCTTCTGTTACAGGGGATCTGTGGATGCAGATGGCTCTTTTGCAGACTGAACCATGAAGACTCACGCCTAAGCTACCTGCACTGTTGAAAACCAGCTCCACGCCACCTTGGCCGACTTCAGCGCTGCTCAGAAGCCTCTAATCAAATTTCATCCCACAGCCGCCTCGCAGCCTGCAGCGGCAGAACGCGACTGAGCATGCGCGTACGCAGCCCCCGAGCGCTGGGCGGGGCTCCCTAAGACCCCGCCCCCCGGAACCGGCGGAACCTGGGAACTGGGCACTCCTAAGTAAACTAATTCCGGTTTCTCCCTGCGGCGGCTCAAAGCCCCGCCCCCGGCGTTCGGACCAATCAAACGGCAGATTGCTGAAGCTCGGAGCCAATGCCCAGGGCTGTCCTTAATTCCTCTGTGCAGTTTGAAACTGTCAGGTTGCTGCTAAGGTAGCTGTTGTACTTAGGTAGCTGTTGTACTTGCTGTAGTTTCAGCGGCGACGCGAACAGAAGACACGGGGTGAGGAGTCGGGATTTTGTCCAGAGCCGCGACGGTGGGTAGCGGCGCCCCGGGCGGCCGCGCAACCCTGGCTGAGTTGGCGGAGTGGAATTTAAAGTTCCTAGGCCTGGGTTTCCGCTCCCGGGGCCCGTCCACGACAAGCTCGGGGCATCTTCCCCAAATCCGGGCGATTCATCTGTGGCGCGGGAAGGTCGAGACATTTTCCCTTCCAAGGCGTCCGGGAAGAGACGGCAGGAGTGAGGGGTGCTAAAGTATAGCGGTTACTGTCGCCACAAGGTCTGGTCATTTTGACTAAAACAGGGCTGGGGAGGAAGGTAGTGGAAGAAAACGTCTAGCCCTTTGCTTACTCACAACTGCCTTTTCCCTCTGCTTCTAGTCCCTGCCTTGGTGAGGGGCAGGCGCGCCCCTTGCATGCGGCTGGGACCCGCGAAGGGCAAAAGGGACATCACCCTGTTGCCAGTTTGCACGTTAATTCACTCTTCCTCTGCCTCTTGGAAATTACATTTGAATTCTCGGACCCCTCTTTCCCTATCAGCTAGGTAAGTACAAAGATGTTATTTTATATCTCTGGCAACAGAGAAGCACTTCAAAGTTTTTATCTTGTGGACTCTGATACCTTGGGCTGGAGAATACTGAAAATGTGATGGACTGCTGCTTTACATCTGTCACGCATTAAAGCAAGCTTCATTTTTCTCCTTTGTTTCTGAACCTAAAAACAGTAAGAAAAATACTTATTTTGTTTCAAATAAACTGTCGTACCTTGTCGGCATAAAGTAGGGCAGATGGAAGATAGCATATTTTCCAAAAGCTTAATCTTTGTTTTGTGTCGGCAATATCTATATTAAGAAACAATCGTTGAGGTCTGACCATACTTATCAGCTCACTTGTTATTTAAATAATCCCCACTCCAGTTACCTACCCCGCCTGCCAACAAATCCTGAAGGAAGAAGTGAATTAAAATATAAATGGACCAAGTTACCACGGTGGTGGATTTGAAGTCAGTGAAGCAGGCATTCCTTGCTGCAGAGATGTGTGTTTATTTTATCCTCCCTAATTGGCTTAACTAAAGACAGTCATGCTGAGATTTAGTTTACTTATCATGGGTATACACAGTAATACCCATTGGATAAAGTTGAAATTTCTTTTCCATTTTAATATTGCACTTTTCCTTGGTTCTGCCCTTTCTACTTCAATTTCCTCATCTCTCATTTATTTTTCAGCCCACTGTGATTGAGACCTGTGCTACTTTCCACTGAAATTGTTCAAGCAAATATCACAGCAACTTCCTGATCACCAGATTCAGGGGACCCCATTTAATCCTCATCTTTCTTTGGCATCTGACTTTTCCCTTTTCAAAGTTTTTGTGATGCAGGTCCCATAGTTCTGCTGTTCTGACTTCCTTTTCAGTCTTTGTTGACTCTTCTTTTTTTCTCCTTTAAAAGGTAGTGGTTCTGGCTTTAACTCTCTTCTCATTCACAGTAGTAGTCCTTAACTTTATTAGGGTTATGGTCCCCTCTGAACACATTTTGGAAGCTAAAGCTCCTCTTCCTAAAAAAATGTGCATTTATTGCTAAAAAATATCACATATAAGTTGGGTGTAATGGACCGCAGAATAAGAACTCTTTCTCACACTCCTTTTGATAGGTGATCTCATTCTTTCCCATTTTTAAGCTGTTCCCATTATGCTAATGGTTCCTCAAACTGGATCTCCAATCTGTACCTCAGGTACACAGTTCCCACATCACTTAACTCCAGGAAGCACCATTCACATTGTAGCTGTTTTGAATGGCAGTCCTTGGGAGTTGTGCACTGCCTAGGCAGTGTGGCAATAAACTGCATACCTGCAGGCAACCTCACACCGAGGACATCTGATATTGAACTCATTGTCCTTCCTCTGAACCTGCTCATCTTCCTGCATTTCTTGCCTTGGTGAGTGGCACTGTAATCCATCTAGTTATCCAAAACAGCTATCTGGAAGCCATCAGCAATTCCTCCCTTTAACCTCTTAGCCAATTATTGACCATGGTCTCTTGTTTCCATCGCCATAACACAACTCTCTCTTACTCTTGTTCTTCAGTAGTCCAATCCATCCTCAAAGCCACCAGAGTGATCTTTCTAAAAAACAAGGCTGATCATGTTATCAGTTGTTTAAAACATTTTATAACTTCTCTAGAATAAAGACCCAAAGTTTTAATATGACAAATCATGATCTTCCATGATCTGGCTGCTCCTTACCTTCTTGTTTCATCCATAGCCAAGGCTTGCTTTCACACCCTTTGCTTCAGCCTTATGAAACTACTTGCTATTCCCAGCACACATGTCTATGCCTCTGTGTCTTTGTTTATGCTGCTCTGCAGCCTGAAATGTCCTCATATCTTTTATCCATCTTTCAGAAAGAGACCTACTCATCTTTCAGGTTTCAACAGCTGGGTCATCTTCTCCGTAAAAACTTTCTCTGCCTCCTTTCCCATTTCTTCACACCTGTGCAATCCCACCCCATGAAAAATGGCTACTCCTACCTTCCTACCTTTCTACCTCTATTTTTTTAGGATCTAACAGCAATTTTTTCATCAGTCGGTCATTTATATTATATATATATCTGGCCCACTCCACAGATTGTGAAGTCCTTCAAGACAAGGACTTCATTTTACATTCATCACCAATGTCTTACATGTAACTGTTGTTTAGCTACTTTGAATAGTCACTATTTGTCTTTTAAATAATTTATGTGTTACTAAAAGTACTTTTATTACTTTTTTTGGTTAGGACTTTCAACAATTTTTCTCTACGTGTGTTTGAGTATGTTGTTCTGTTCTCAGCTTGCTTTTCTTAAAATAATATTCACAAAAGGTAAGTTTCTCAAGAAGGGAATTTTTACAAATCGTTCATTCTGTCTTGGTTCTGTATCTTACAGGAAACTGCCTAGTACTCAGGGTGTCATATATTGCTCAAGAACAGTGATCGCAATCTGTTATCCTCAACAGGCTCCACTAGTGATTTTTCTGAAGAGTCTCCTTTTTTTTTTAACCTTTCATGTGTTTGTCTCATCTCCTTGACTACATTATAAACTCACTAATGTTGGAATTAAGTCTGTAACTATTTTTCTTGCCCAGTGGTTTTTGTATATAGATACTCAGTATGCTGAATGAATGATTCTAACATATAAAATAAAGGTTTTTTGCAGGTTGGGATACTGTTGCACTTATATGAGGGTACTTCAAAAAGTTTCTGGAAAAATAGAATTAAAACATAAATCTTTCCATGAACTTTTTTTTTTTAAACCGGTAAGGGGATTGCAACCCTTGGCATGGTGTTCTCTGCACCATGCTCAACCAGTGAGCGCACCGGCCATCCCTATATAGGATCCGAACCCGCGGCCTTGGCGCTACCAGTGCCGCACTCTCCTGAGTGAGCCATGGGGCTGCCCCCCATGAACTTTTTAAAGTACCCTCATATATCTAGAAAGCATTTGATTTTAGTTGAAATATCAAGGGAAAAAAATTAAGTTAGCTTCTGTTATTTTATAGTGTTTGTGCAGAATGTCATCTGATGAGGAGAAATACTCACTTCCCGTTGTGCAGAATGACTCCCATCGAGGCAGTTCTGTCTCTTCAGATCTTCAGGTAGGAAGAAACGTCTAAATTTGTCATGACTTTTTAAAAAAATTTATTTCTTAATATATATGTATTTTTTACAAAGATGTTGCACGGCAGTTGGGGAGGGGGAGAAGGGAAGGTGGAAGAAAATCGGGTGGAGGAAGGAGGGTGGCATGGTTGAGGCCCACGGCACCCCACTCATTCCTGCAGGGGAGATGAGGAGAATTCCCGCAGTGGCTTGGTCATTGCTGAGCTAAATGCAGATGTCAGGGGGTGTGGCTGAAACCCTCGGCCCCCAGCCGTACCAGCTCAGGAGGCAGGGGCATTCCGGTGGCAGCTCAGAGGTTGTTGTTGGGCTGGTTGCAGATGTTGAGGGGGCATGGCTGAGGCCATCTGCGCCCTACTGCTCTGACTTGGGAGCCCAGGGCGCTTCCTGCAGCAGCTCAGTGGTCATAGCTTGGCTGGTTGTAGGAGTTGGGGTGCATGGCTGAGGCCCCCGGCCCTCCTCTCTCCCAAGCTTGGGAGCCCAGGGTGCTTCCGGTCCTTCTAGGTTTTATAGATGTTCTTTGGTGATGTGAAACCTTTACTGGTTAATATCAAACTTTGTCTCTGGTCTGTGGG